GATCACATCTGGACGTGACGGGGAAGTGTTTGCATATGAAAGCCCTTAAAGCTCCACAAAAACCTGCTGACAATCTGTAAAACAAACATGTTTCCTCTCATCCTGGAGAGTTGTTGCACTTGAAGGTAACTGTGTTATAAAAGTTAGAGATTTTTTTTAAAGTGTTCTTTTTACCTAAATCTATTTATGTACAAAAGAACATGTGAAACAACACAAAAAGCTGCGCAGACGGCTGTTTTTGTGTTGTTTGACCTTGTGACACATCACTTCCCTCTTTTTTTTTTTTTGCTTTGTTTTTCAGTTCCTCATCACAGAAAGTTTGGGAGAGTTCAACTGGAGCAGGAATCATGTGGGCATGAGGGGTGTAGGTGGCGTGTGTGTGTTGTTTGTTTCACACTCTGGACATGGTGTGGAGGTTGTCTGTCGGAGGGCAGGTGTTAAAACGGTGGTGCAGTGATGATTGATACAATGCTTCTTGTTGTGGTGGTGACATCAGGCTGTGCGTGAACGTGTGAGCAGATGTTGCTCTGTTCCTCGCTCCGTGTTAATCCCGGTGTCCTGCACATCTGCCACCCCCTCTCACTCACGTGCACACACACAGATGAGCTGCGTGGATGGAGTCCCACTCGTTGCTTCTCGCGACTGCCCTCCACCATCACACACATCAGCGATGAACTGATGGGGATACTGAGCTGAAACTCTCAGAGGAAACAAGAGGAGTAAGAGAGAAGATCTGAATCCTGGAAAAACAAAACAAGTGGAACGTGAAGAAAACAGCAAGTGTGTTTAATCTGTTGATGTTATCACTACAGAAACGGTCATTCCTACATCCTGAAGCCTTCTGCAGCAAAATGCATCACCAAAAAACCACTTTTTTTAATTTAAAAACTCAGTCCATTTGTGCTTCAATGTTTGTGTTCCTTCAAAAGATTGTCCAGATCTTGATTGGGGGGGTTGTGTGGAACTGATGTAGTTTTTTCAACAACCTATAGCACAATTTCTGATCTAGTTTATTTCATTTTGGTCACCTTTTATGTTTTAATATGGCTGTTCTGTTTCATTCCTATTGCACGTTATATAATGTGTTTATTAATGTGTTTATTAATGTTTGTTACTGTTCCATTTTGTTAATCCTTCATAATGATGAAAAGCTACTGCAAAACACTTGCACTGGCGACACAACCACAAAGTGTGTCTGCACGGTTTGCGGTTGTTTTGTGTTACTTTGTGACTTTTGGTTTGATGGCGGCTCGAACTCTCCTGAGTCCAGGAGTTTCTGGTTTTATTATCTCTCCAGTTGTCACAGATGGTAACTTGTGAGGTTTATGAAATATGAAAGCTTGCATATATTAAGTTTCAAACAAGGTTTCTGTTCCAGAGTGAAAGTTTTAAAGAAAAGATTGGTTCCCAACCCAGGTCCATGAGGAACACCATCCTGCATGTTTTCGTTGTTTTCTTGTTCCAACACAACTGATTAAGTGGTTTAATTACTTCCTTATGTTCTGCAGAAGCCTGCTAATCACCCATTCATTTAAATCAGATGTATCAAAGCAGGGAAACAACAACTTGCAGAATGGTGTTCCTCAAGGGCCTGGGTTGGGAACCTTTGTTACAGAATACAATAATCCTGTATTTGACTCTCAGCTGGAGAATCCGCATTGATGCAGCAGCAAAAAGGCATGGACCAAATACACATCTAGAAAAGTTTGTATTAAGAAATGCAGCATAAAATAAATGGAGAAACACACACACAAAAGCAAAATTTATGAAAAGACATGTAAACACAAACTGCTAACACATTTAAATGTGCATACAGTTTGTACTTGTGTATGAATCGTAAGAACATCAGCTGCCCCTTCTCACGCCAGAGTTTTGAACTAAGATCATCTCACTGTAAGAAGTTATGGATTTCACTCGTTTTGGTCAAACCTTGACAAGACTGTCGGCATAATCCAATTGAGACTATTCTGAGATACCTGGATTATGTGTTGACGATGACTCTCAGCTACTACCACATCCACTTTAGCTCAATGTATTTGACTGGTATATCCATATTTGTGTTGTAGGGATGTAGGGTTAGTTTAGCTTAGGAGCTCCACTACAATCAATATTTAATAACGGGTTCTCTCTTTTTCGAGCTACTTGACAGATATGTGACAGAGGTACTGTGTTGGAGATGGTCTAATCAGTGACATGAGACGTTAATTTTCTTTGACCCATCAAAATGAATGTGGTCATTTATTAACAGAATCAAAATTTAACATCAAAACATTGTACACTTGATTATTCTGATCGGCTCTGATTAATAAAACTTGGCACGTTTTACTTAATAAAACAACAGACATTTCTGAAGATATCTGGATTAATTACTGGCAAGATAGAAGAGTTTTAAAGATGGGAAATGAAGGAGTTTAAATGGAGAGAAAAGATGGATGAGGGAAAGTGTGTTGACGAAGAACGGCACCCTCCATCCGAACCCAGCTCAGCCTCGGTACACTGGTAGTGAAGCGACTCGTTACCTTTGCAGAAGATAGGTCAGCTCCGGTACAGAGTTCCATTTTAATGCTACCTTTCAGCGTCTCCTTAGGATGGCTGAGAATCGTCCGAAGTAGTGACGGTACTCCGTTAAACAACAAGCTCACCTCACGGGTGGACTCACATGAGCTGTGAGTCCGTCAGAGGTTCCACTCAGATGTGGAAGATTCCATAATCCCAACTAGACTCGGAAGAACTCTCGGAACTTCATTTCTTCCCCCAGAACTTCTGTTCTCCTGTGCTCCCAGAACTAACTGGAACTAGGAAGTGTTGACTTTTAAAGAGTTCTGCTTCCGGTCACTTTTGGGAAGTCCTGATTGGTTGAAAGAACCAACAGGGGTGTGGTTTTAGTGACGTCAGAGGGTTACTACAAGTCAGAAAAACAGCGGAGATGTTTGGGAACAGACAGAGAAATGTTTTGGGGAAATGACAGACCCACAGGTGCCAGCTTTTCTTGTTTCTCTCTGAGAGGGTTAAAAACACGACAGTTCGTTCCAATAAACTTGTTTGCGACTGTCTCCGACTTTTGACCGACATCACTCCTTCTCATTTCAGACAGAACATCAAAAAATGCATAATTACTTTGTAACAAACATTTTAACTTGATTTCTACTTTGAATGAGGATTAAAAAAAATCATTAATACTGTTTCACAGTTGATTTGAAATGAGTGGTTCATTTCAACATTTAAAATGATATGAACTGAACACACTTTTGATTATCAAGATATTGTAAAATAGTAATGATAATATGAAAAAGAGAGTGTTCTTTCAATTGATTAGTTCAGGATACAATTAGGAAGTCTCTGGATGAGCTAATTTGTATTTCTGGATTCAAATCAATGAAATAACAGTTCCTGTCCCATGAAGGTCTTCAGAGGCAGGTCTTGACCGGAGGCTTAGTTCACTACAGTGTTACCCGAGGTTCACAATAAGGTAACACCAAAGTTTTAAACAATGATGTTGCACCGTGTGTAGAGATAAGAAGTCCAACGGTATTTGACATATTTGGCTAACAGAGTGGCCTTTAAAGGTAACATTTTAAAAACAGATCCCATGCAATTAGTTAGCACTCAAGGTATTAGTTTTGGATGACCCTCAGCTATTACCACAACACATTTCAATTCAATATTTGTCTCACTGACTGAGTTGTAGGCATTTTTGTGTTTGCTAAAGACACACAGCTGTGGTGGCCATTTTGAATGGGGTTAACTCCAGATTATTCATTCATTCAACCTTTATTTATACAGGTCAGCCTCACTGAGTCATTCTTCTTGTTTCGGCTGCTCCTTTCTTCAGGGGTCGCCACAGCAAACTAAGTCACACGACGACTTGGCAATTATTTTTATGCCAGATGTCCTTCCTGACACAACCACAGCCCACGGAGCTACCACGGCCCTCTGTGTGGAGCAGAGAGCTGCTATCTAGGGCGCCCAGGGGAGCAGATGGTGGGGTTAAGGGCCTTGCTCAAGGGCCCAGAGTGGATCAAATGAGGGTGGAGGCAGGTCTCACTGAGTCACGAGGAATCTTTTTCAAGAGAGACCTGTTTTAAACAAAGAATACAGATGATACAGACAACAATAATTCAACAACAAGCAATTAAAAATAAAATAAAAGTAGTTCTAAAAACTGTAAAATCAAGGTGCCACATAAAACCAGGTAAAATACTACACTATTATACACCCAGCATGGACTTCCTGAAACTTTTCATTAAAATCTATTCTATGGTTTATGAGATATTTTGTTAAGGCAACAACTGAACACACACGCCTTTTACTCCTTAAATGTTGTATTAAGAAATAGGAAAAAGTTATGAGCAAATAACAATGCAGAAGTTTAAAAACAAATATAAATAGTTATCTATTAACTGAGACGAGCCAGGAATTGAAGGTAACGCTGTAATAATCCTCTGCTCTGACCATTGTCACCTGGTTATACTGTAGTTATTAACAGTTTATTAATGATTGCTGGAGTCACTGTTTAGAACACGGCTCACCGTCTCAATGGAGCTGCCTACAACACATTTTACTGCTGTTTGCTCTGTTCTGGTGACTTCATTCATGTTTTTACAAACTTTGTAAATGTCCGCTGTGGCTTTAAATGAGAAGGAGTTAAGCCCCGCCCCTCCGAGTTGCCTCTCTGTCAACTTGAGCAAAGAAAAGAAAAGAAAAGCCTCCCAGCATCGGAATGGTAACACCATGTGCATGTCGGACACAAGTTACTCGGGACGGTTTATTTGTGTTGTTTTGTGTCTTTTTCTAGTTGTTCAGCCGAAGTGTTAGGAAGTGTTCAGGAACTCTGATGGAAAGGAGCAAAGAAGGCGAATCTTTTCGCTCAGGCGGCAGAAGCGCCACGCGCTGCCGGAGCAACGTTTAACGCTTCTTCTTCTTCTTCTTCTTCTTCTTCTTCTTTGGTTTGAGATGCGCTTTCTCGTCGCCGCGACATTTGTAGCATGATAGTGAGCGACATGTCTAACGTGAGGCCGAGTAAAAGCGCGGAATGGCTGCAGCTCGCGCTGGAGACCGGAGGCGCCGCTGGTCTGCTCGTGCTGGACTGCCGCTCGCACGAGCTCTACGAGTCGTCCCACGTAGAGACCGCCATCAACATGGCCGTGACGGGGCTGATGCTGCGGCGGTTCCGAAAGGGCAACATCCCCGTGCAGACCGTCATCCCCAAGCACGAGGACAAGGAGAAGTTCGCGAGACGGTGCAAGACGGACACGGTGCTCCTGTACGACGAGAGCTCGGCGGACTGGCCGGACGGCGGCTCGTCCTCCCCGACCACCATTCTGTTCCTGCTCCTCAAAAAGCTGCGGGACGACGGCTGCGAGGCGTACTATCTGGAAGGTAAACGCTCCATTGTTCATCTAATGTGGGAAACGGCGACATTATTCATAAGGGCTGCGCGTTGTGGCTTTTATTGACTTTTCAAGCCGGTTTGTCACTTTGAAACATCTAAATAAAGTTTTGAAGCGGGCGGTTTGTTCGTCTCTGCACGGCCTAACATCTTAAAACTTTATGTTGTTAGTCGGAGGCGAAGCTGTGTGTCTCGTTGTGTTTTTTTAATGTTTATATTTTAGTTCGTTTGCGCCCTCACCTGCGTCCTTTGCGGTGGACTTGCAGTTTGAAGGCTGTTTTTAAAGTTCGTGTCGCTGCTGAGGTTCTTAATTAAAATTCCAAAATGGCCGCGGCATGTTTTGCTCCAGCAGGAGCAGACATGGACTTCATGAATGGTGCGTGTGCAGGAGGGCTCTTACAGCTCAGCGCTGGCTTCCATTATTATTTTCGACCCGTTGTTATCGAAATTAACCTTTTCGGCGTAAAGTTTGGATATAAATGTCAAAAAGAAAGATGTGGTTTGTTATAAATCAACTTGTGTTTTTGGCTCTTATTCCAGGTGGTTTTGAAAAGTTCCACACAAAGTACCCGGAGCACTGCGAGACCCTCCTGGACAGCTCGTGCCCGAGCTCCTCGCCCCCCATGCCAGTTCTGGGTTTTGGAAACCTCCGGATCAGCTCGGATTGTTCGGACGGCGAGTCCGATCGCGAGCCCAGCAGCACGACAGAGTCCGAGGAGAGCCCCGTCCCCAGCAATCAGCCCGACTTCCCCGTTCAGATCCTGCCTTACCTCTTCCTGGGCTGTGCCAAAGACTCGGCCAACCTGGACGTGCTGGGCCGGTACAACATCACCTACATCCTGAACGTCACGCCCAACCTCCCCAACATGTTTGAGCATGACGGCCACTTCAGGTACAAACAGATCCCCATTTCAGACCACTGGAGTCAGAACCTGTCGCAATTCTTTCCAGAGGCCATATCATTTATTGGTGAGTAAACATGTCGCCTAGCTGAAGCTAATGAAAGTACTTTTCAAATATAAGTTGAGTTGCTTTTTTTTGTTTCCAGAAGAATTTTCTTGAAAAGTGTAAGTGGGTTTAACACGTTTTTGTATCTGTTCATCAGGATGAAATAACTTGTAGTTTTATTATTTCCATTATTAATGTGATCATCAACTGTTTTAACCCATTGGTAGCAATACAAAATAAAACCTGGTTCTTACTGGGTTTAAAGCTTGGTAGTTATCTAGTATCTACCTGAAACCTACAGGGACCATTCTGAATTATGAAGGGACTTGTTCCTCTGTACTTACAGGGTATGTACCTAGTATGTACTGGGTACTTACCAGGCTATATTGTGTGTTGCTATCCACAAATCAACCAAAACAAAAGCAAACCGCTCATATTGTTTGTTAATAACTTTAGAACTTTGTTTCAGTTTTGCTTTTGTTTTGATGTTTCTCACCATGACTGCACATGAAGCCACAACTATTCACTTGATTGTTTGGCAGTTGCCGTGTTGCTCATCACAAACGAGTTTCTAAGTTGTTTCAGATGTAAAAAAGAGGAAGGAAGCGATTCTTTCACTCAATGGGGTTGTGTTTGATTCCATTTTTACGAGTTGACAGTTGTTTGCCAACGACTCAATCTGACAGGAAACTAGTGTTGTTGTTTTTTTTCTGTCGAGGATAAGATTAAATCACGCAGACTTCTAAAGTGAAGTGTTATAATAGTTCTTTCTTATCTTGTAATACAAGTGTAGTTTCAAACAATCTGAACAGTTTGCACGTCATAATTAAAGCAGACCTCTTCTCACCTGGAGTTTTTCCTTCCCTCCGACAGACGAGGCTCGGTCGAAGCGCTGTGGGATCCTGGTGCACTGCCTGGCCGGCATCAGCCGCTCAGTCACAGTCACCGTGGCTTACTTGATGCAGAAACTCAACCTCTCTCTAAATGACGCCTACGACTTCGTAAAGAGGAAGAAGTCGAACATTTCACCAAACTTCAACTTCATGGGTCAGCTCTTGGACTTTGAGAGGACGCTGGGGCGACACACTCCCTGCGATAACCGCTCCACCAGCGAGCAGCAGCTCTTCTTCACCACTCCGACCAATCATAATGTCTTTCAGCTGGAGTCGACATAAGGAGCAATAAGACCGCTGGGTTTTGTTGTTTCCTGTGGTGTCTCTTAGGTTTTGTAAGCCTGTCAGATGCTTGGCTTGCTGACGCAGGCAGAAAGTCAGTGACAGGGTTCAGCACCAGAGGGAACGTCGGTCTGTCAAATGAACTGAACACTCTCGACTCTCAATGCCTTAATATCTAACACAAAAAAGAATTCAACTTTCCTCCACACACTGAGTTAATCAAGCGGTATAATTACGGGACAGTTTCTGAATTTTACTACCTGTTGTCTGCATTTGTTCTGAATATTGCCTTTATGGTCGAAATCCAGTCAACAGAGTGTTTTCTGAGGACCAGTCAGGTGTTTTCTTAACTCAAGCTGATGGTAATAAGCTACTGTGCTGATCCGTTGTACAGTTATCGATGGCTTTTTTAAATCACAGTAGAACTTTTTTATATATTTTTTTTAATTACACAGATCATTTTCACTAATACAATGGTTCCCAATACTGGTCCTGGAGGAACACCATCCTGCGTGTTTTAGTTGTTTCTGTGCTCCAACAAACCTGATTCATAGATTTAATTTAGAATGGTGTTCCTCGAGGACCAGGGTTGGGCACCATTGCACTAATATTTGATAAGCATGATTAGTATTTAAATTCAAGATAAATTGGGCATTTCTCTGTATATATTTGAACAGTATTTTTTTTTGTTTTAATATTTTACTCTACAGAGGCCCTCTAGTTCATTTTATCCATTATAACTGTGTCATTTACATAAGATCTTCTTTCCACAAGGATCTTGTTGTGTAACATTTGTATCCTTACCTGTTGCTGAGGCCTTGGCCGCTCTGAAACGTGAAACCAGTTAGAACTTCAGTAACCACGTCGGGGCGACATGTTGGGCGCCCACCTTCTGTTGTACTCTTCAGCCTGCAGCTCCTTCCTCTGTGGCTCGTCCCTACAGGAGGAATTACGTGCACAATGCCAGTCTTGTCTTCGAACAAGTGAATGAGTTTGACGCGTGCGAAAGAAAATGAAAGGAAGTACCTTTGACCAGAGTGTTCTTACCTCAACACGAGACATTTTCAGGGATTTTTATACGAAATTGACTGCATGTCCTTTTGGCCTTCTACTCAAGGGCTGTTTTTGTTAATCACGTTTGTAAAGATGTACATAGAACTCGCTATGGGGGACATTTTCTGTAAATCATGAAGGATATGGAAGTGACCTTTTTGGAACCCTTATGTATAGTAAATATAAAGCTAAACGTCCAAGGCATTCTGTATAGGTTTTTACAACAAATAAATTGTATATTTTTTACTTAAATTTCATTTCTTTGCTTCTCTTTGTGTAAGTCTTTTTGCTCAATCGGATGTTTTGTAAAGCAAAACGAAAGTGACTGTGGGTCATAACTCAAGGGTGCTCTTGTTGCCGAGGCGGGCTGTCCATTTTCAGTGATGAAGGTGCGGTCGCACCTTGTTTTTATGCTCTGCCTGGTTTCCGGTCTCCTGTGTGCCCTCTGACACAAAGACAAGTGGCAAGCCTCGTTCTGTCAATACCACAACTCTGACACACCCGCTAGCAGTCGCTCAAACAAGACTTAAAGAAAGAGGAAGAGACGGCGTTTATTCTACCGCAGATAAAAGACTTCCGACAGCCCTCCTACGCAGTGTGAATTAAAGTGTTACGCCACAGCATGCTCTCTGTGGCTTGAAGTTTAACTGACTAAACCACAATTTCCTGTAATGTACTGAAGTTCAAATACGACTTTTGTGGAATAGCTCTGAAAACTCAATGTCTCGCTGGTTGTAGATACAGTAGCTCTTTAAATTACTTCAGTTTGGATAAATGTAAGTTTAAATCTGTCCAGACTGACAAGCTAAAGACCAAATTTAATTGTTGCTGTCTTAAAACAATCTCCAACATTCAGTCAGGTCATCTGGAAGGTTTCTTTTTGACATGTTTCGTCCTTCATCCAAAGGACTTCTTCAGTCGGAGGCCTCCATCTACAATCTCCAAAGTGTAGCCTTTTTAACAACTTTTGGATCATTGTTCTTTCGTTATGGTTGTATTGCAGCAGAAATCTGACAATATACCTGCTGAAGATGCTCCAGGCTGCACCAGAAGTGCAACAGCTAGCTGCTATTTGCAAATAGCCCCCCCCCCCAAAAAAAAAAAGCTAAGTAATAACAAAATGAGAAATTGACAGCGGTGTAAAGGTTTATAAAACTGACACAAAGTGTTTGTAACTGGATGGAATCAAATGTCAGCAGTCCATTGTGGTCCAGTCTAGTCTGGTCTTCAACAGGCGGCTTGAGGGCCACATGTGGCACTGAATGATGTCACTAGCGTGTGGAGGGAAACGTTAGATCATGCTAGTTGCCTGTTAGCCGCTTCATTAATCCATCTTCCAGCCACACGGCATGATCTTTCTCTGATTTGATCCAAAAACACTAACCTGTTTTGAAAACCTTTAAGGCATCGCTGCTTACCCGTCCTTTTATCTCAGGTTATGAAGCACTAAAACGAGTTCTGCAAAACACGTCCGGTCAGTTTGATAACAAAATGGACTGAAAGTAAAAGCTCACCTTTCATCAAAACCTGTGATGAAACGTGCATTTAGATCTCTGCTTTAATTCTTTGATTCAAAAAGTCAATGAAATATCCATCAAACCAATTCATTTTTATATGTGCTTTAGCAACATGCTTTCTTTTAAATAGTTTTAAAGTGTATTGTTAAATGTTTTATTTTACGGGGGGTAACTGTAAAATATTTTTCCTCTTCTGCATGAATGTGGTCTATTCAATCATTTATTTATCTACCATTACCAGGAAAATACCATTCAGGTCTTGCAAGGGAGGCCTGATGCCTAATGTGCATTTGAACCAGAGTACCCGGAGAAAACCCACTCTTACATGAGGAAAATATGCAAACCCAGGTTCAAACCGGGGATTGAACCCATGACCTTTTTGCTGTGAGGCACAGAATCATTAAGGCACCGTGCTGCCCAAATGATCCCAATATGTACAAATACCAATAGAAGTCACATTTTATTACAGATTTTTAGATTTATTATAGAATAAACCAACAAACAAACAAAAAACTATGCAGTAGTAGATAACACTTTATGTGTTATCTTTATTTCAAGCGTGTAGCGAAGTGGTCACCACTCCCTGTCTGGAAAAGCATTCAGTTCTAGGTAATTGTACACAGAGAACTGCATTGTAAAATATGTAGAAAACCTTAATCACAAAGTGCCAGCAGTGAGTAGGAATATATTTATTGTTAGAGTTAAAGTGAACTGTCCTTTTGTTGCTCCTTCAATAACAGAACAAGAGTAAATGAATTATTTGTGAAGTTGCTGCAGGAGCGTGTGCTTTCTTTGCTACTGTCCATTAATCTGGTGCTAACGGAAGATATCGGTGTCTGAATGAGCATTGTGGTTTTTATTCTGTAACGTACGGTGGCCCTGTGGTGTAAATGGTAAATGGTAAATGGAGCTTACTTCTATAGCGCCTTCCAGCCCCCTATGAGGGGCCCCAAGGCGCTTTACAGTACCAGCCATCCACCCATTCACACGCACATTCATACACCGGTGGCGGTAGGCTGCCATGCAAGGCGCCATCCAGCCCCACCGGGAGCAACTCGGGGTTAAGTGTCTTGCCCAGGGACACAACGGCACATGGTGTGGGAAGTCGGGATTCGAACCTCCAACCTTCCGATCAGAGGTCGGCTGCCACTACCACTGCACCACGGCTGCCCACAGTAAATGTGTAAATGAACACCGTTTGAAAAAACAGAATTACATCTGAAAAAACACAACAAAAACACAACATTTGAAAAAAATTGAATTACATTAAGCCAAAGCGGAAGTGGCCAAAGCGGAAGTGGCCAAAGTGGAAGTGGCCAAAGCGGAAGTAGCCGGAATTACATTTGAGAAAAAAAATGGAATAACAGCTGAAAAAAACAGAATTACATTATAAAAAATGAAATAATATTAGAAAAAACAGAACTACATTTGAAAAACAAAACAAAATTACATTTGAAAAAATAACAACGGAATCACAGAAAAAAATGGAATCAAAAATTATATATTTTCTGTTTTTTCTAATGTGATTCCGTTTTTTCAAATGTAATTTTTTTAATATTGTTTTTTTCCAAATGTGATTCTGCCCACTTCCGCTTTGGCCACTTCCGCTTTCACTTAATGTAATTCCGTTTTTTTAAATGTTGTATTTTTGTTGCTTTTGTTGTGTTTTTTTAAATGTAATTCTGTTTTTGCATATCTTCTTCATTTACACCTTAGGGCCACCGTAGTAACGTTCTCACAAGGACAAACATTCACTCTGCAGCACAGCAGTCCAACAGAGAGGTACGCAGCGCTGGATTAATCTGACATCTGTTGAGAAGACAGACTGATGGTTTTAATACAACAAACTACCGAAGGCTAACGTTATGGACAGACATAAACAGCTGCAGCTTCTAGTCATTTTCCCTCTGGATCGAGTTCAAATTAATGAGGGAGAACTGCTTTAAGTGACTGTACTCCAGCTGAAGCTTCTGCTTTATGATTATTTATCTCTTATCAAACGTTTTCTGAGATAACTTCTTTTTTTGTCAATAGGTGCCTTCAAAAAGACTTGAACTGAATATCACCTGTTTCTGTCCACCGTCTTTGTTTTTGTTGTTTTTTAACTATGACATTTGTTTATAAGGATGTTAGTTGGTTAACCTTAATTTACCATCAAGAGGTCAATGGCAGACATTGCATGTGCATTGTTAGATTGTTTTATATTTTTCTCTTTAACACATATTTATGGACATAAATCATGAGTCTAACCATGTTTCTTGCCAGAGTTTTAGTCAAAGATCTTACGTTGAGAAATGATGGATTCTGCGCCGCGACTATATCTAATTCTGCAACTTGACCAAGTTATAGCAATATTTGTGTTAGCTACATTCAATTAGCTGTGACAGCCATTTTCAGCAGGACTAGCTTCAGCAGCTTATAAACTGCAGATTTACATCCAGTGATTACATCCTGAAGGTTTCATTAAAATCCATCCAGTGCCTTATGAGATATTTTGCTAACAAATGGTTTTGACTCAAATGGCATGTTGCAAAAGTTTTGAGTAAAGATCTTGGACAACGACTTGGAGTATATGTTGAGGATGACTCTCAGCTACTACCGCCTCAAATTACCGCCTCGTATCTGTAAAATTGACTGACTTATACTCAGCTGTCATATTAGATCAGCCGGCTGTGGCAGCCATCTTGAATTGGATTGACTACAAAAGTAATTAAACTACAAAGTCACATCTGGTGATTAATTTCTGGGCCTTGCATTGCAACTCGGACAGTGCATGAGATATTTTGCTAACAAACAGACACAAAAATACGATCGCCATCTTGTTTTTTGCAGCATGTGATGAAAAAAAAAAAGTGACAACATGCAACGCGTGGAGGCCAAGA